CTAATCTGGTTTGGCCTAGGGGAAGGCATTGACATAAGTGAATTGTAACTATCTAGCCAGAAGTAAATTTAGCAGATGTCTAGCCAATTGGGCAAGATTCTGGGTTGTTTCCCAAAAAGTAGTTGTTGAAGGAAGGGAAGAGAGCAAACTAAATGTAAGAGTTCAAGCCTTCATAGTGGCTGCCTGTGAATAACTGGCAGTCATCTCCGTACCCTGTTTTGTTTCATCCTGTCCCCTGAATTGGTAATTTTGGACTTTGGCAGTTTCTGTAGAGTCTTGTGTTAATATGTAGTGTTTTGTTAAAGTGTGTTTCCCTAGGATTTATTTAAGCTCTGGGTCAAAACTTGATGTTTGGATAGCAGTTCACAGAAATGTGCTAAGCAGGTCAGAAAAGGAAGTGAAGAGAAGATAGTTCCCAGTGCTGTGAACTTGCAGTACTTCTGCATGTGCTAATTGAATCAGTTTCAGACTTCCTTACTGTACCATCTTAATTATGACTGCACTGGTTTCAAGAGACACCCTTCCCCGCTTCCTCTATCTCTTTCCAAATCTGGAGTCCATGGCGCTCTCAACACATGCTGCAGAGCCCCTGTTCAGTGCACTGCTTGCGCAGCATATCCCAGCTCTCTAACCTCAAGCCTGTTCTCTCCTTCTTGCTTGTCTTCTGTCCCTGAGAACCTGCCCTAGATCGCCAGTGGAAAAGGCAGTCCTTGAGCTTGCTGAGTTCTTGCAGAAACTGTATGTGAACTGAATTTGAATTGCTCACCAGCTGCGTGTGGCTCTTGATCTGCTGTCTGGGCACCCTGAAATGGCCCTGTACTGCTTGTTATGATCTGACTATTGAGTAGCTGTGCTGCTGCAGTATGGTGACTGTTTGAGGCTTGTTCTGCGTATGTGTAGACGAAGGGTTTCTGAGGTCTGACGCTTCAGGTGTCAGCTAGAAACCTTGGTTAGAATGTTGTTAGCAACATTGGCTGGGGCTGCCTTTCCTGTTCTTGTGCTTTTTTAGTCAGAACCTGGACTCTAAAACTGCTGAAAATAAACAGGACTACCAAAGATTAGTGGTTAAACCGTAACACCTTTGAAACTGGTGAAAGATGCAAATATGCTGTATCTCTTCCAGTGCTTAGTTTCAGTGAAGGTGACATAAGCTGCAAGCATTCAAGTTGCAAATGGAGTGTGTGCTGTTAATTGTTCTCACTAAAATACAGCATGTATCTGCACTGAATTGATTAGTGTAGAATCAAGGGCCTTCTGAGACTTTAGGTTCCTATGTTCCTCTTGTTTAGATGTTCAGTGACTATTTTTTATCACAAACTAGCATGAAGTCATGTGTGCCTGTAACTTACAGGAGCTCTTGGTGTAACTTTTTTTTTTTAATTCTGAAAACTTAAGTATTGAAGGACTGCCAAGCATGTCTTTTTAAAGCTTTGAGTACAAAGCTTTAATAACCAGAATTTGCCATTGGTACAGAGCTGTAACTGTGCAGGGTTGTCTGTATTCAGTGCAGAAGAGATTGTGCTTTTTAATATTTAATTTGTGGATAATGTGCTGAAAAAGCTGTAAGGGTGAGAGCTAATGGCAATAAATTCCTTTTACTTAATAGTCTTTGGAAGGGCGTCTTGGACTTTTTAGGTTTTAAAAGATTTTGCTGGTGTAGTCTTGACAGCATCACTGTGTAATGGAAGTATGGCTTATACTAGTCAAATGACTCTTCTAGTGGTACATTGTCCTCAGCCGGTTTTTTTGCCTATTTCAATGTATTGGGCTAACTTGTGGCTTTCTCTTCAGGTGCTTAAACTTTGGGAGGTGCAGTTACAACTGAAGCATAAACTAGGCAATGCTTTCTTGACTACAGTCAAGTTAAGACCTGAATAGTACCTCTACATTTTGGCTTTAAACTGTGATAATTTTTGTGCTAGTTCTAAAGTACGAGCATGCACTTGCTTTAATCTTTGGTTTTGAATTGCTCACTTCGGTTCCTTTTCTAGCAGTGCTCTTTAAACTGCATTTTTGCCTTGCTGATTTATGTTACCAAGTAAAACTAGTAATGCTCTTGATGTGCTAAGTAAGTTCTCCAAGCAGCAACTTTCAATTCAGTATTTGTGTATGGATTACCTTTTGTCACTTCAAATAATACTGCTATTAGAAAAGTGAACTGTTCTAGCCCTAGGACTTGGACTAACTGCTCCTTGGAGACCTTTGTTTTAAACGGATCCAGATTCAAAATTGATTATGTTTGAAAAAGGTAAGGCGGGAAAGAATAGATTGCATTGAATGGCTTAGATTTTTTTTCTCACTTCTAAACAAACTTTTTACCTTTTCACACAGAAAAACTTATCTACAGAAACTGGTGTGTGCATCACAAGCCTGACATGAAATATTTTTTAGTGATCTAAGTTATAATGTGAAACAGAGCAAGTGGGGTAGAGTAGCTTTTCTAACATCTTCCTTTGTTGCAGTTGAAAAAGCTGCATTTTGTGGCGCTATGGCACAGATGAGCTAGTTTGTTGCAATGCATTGAAACTGTAGCCTCACTCTAGTCCCTGAGTCCTGGTTTGCCTCAGGTTGTTCTTGTTGTCAGGACTTATCTATGCTAGAATCTAATTCAGTATTTTTCCTAGTGTGATCGTTTGTTCAGTCTACTATAGGTAAAACAGTGGCAGCTTGTAGGCATTTCAGATTCTGTGTAGTCCCCAGGTTGTTCAGAAAGCTAGTTGGCACTTGGTCTGCTCCTATGTCTGAGCCAGTGTCCGTGGAGGGAGTGCTTCCTGTTGGGCATCATGAAGATGGCAAGGAGAAAAGTGATGGCTCCAAGTCGTTCATGAGTGTTCTTGAAAACAGCAGGTATTGCTAAACAGTTATTAGTCCAATGTACTTATTGCTGAGACTGTAAGAAGCAGCAATGCTATTACTTTGATATACTGTGCTCTTCCTAGTGTACTTGAGACTGGCACTGTTGACAGATGCCCCTTGTATAGGTGACTGTGTTCAGAATGCTGTGATTTTTGCTGGTGGTGGTGTTGTAGTACCTGGATGAAAGTGTGGTTGGTATAAACTGTTTTAGCAAGAGCGTAGTTTGGCTGGTGTTAGCTAGGTCCACTCAATGTATGTTTTGCAGGCAGAGTACCCGGTAGACCGAGGTGTGGAGTTCATACTATAAAAGCAGGGACAAACTGGATCTAGCTTAGAGAAATATGTAAAGGCCAGCCATAAGAGAATATATGAGAAAATCAGCTTGATGATTTATGTCTAATATTTTGATAACTAAGTTGTGTGATGATTGATAGAAGGCTACAAAAGAGCTAAATCCATTGCAGCATTCATACTGTTACTGTTTACTGTCTTTACGTCTCTGTAAATGGAGATAGTCTGGCTCCTTTCTAAGTTGTAGGTAGTGAGCTCCTGACTGTTTTTTATTTAGCACTCTGGTAGGTATTCCCTTTATATGATGATCTTTATCCTCTCTGCACTGCTATTCTTCCCTTTCCCACCCTTCCAAAAATTGTCACCTCCTGGTTATGTATAAAAATGTCTTGAGTTAAAAAAAACAGAAGAGCTTATTAAGTCTGATTTTAAGCACCTGTTTTGGCAGGTACCTGATACTCATATTTGCCTTTAAAGTTCAAGCATTTAAAGGCTCTTTTATTTTTAGCTCTAGATGGTCCTTGCGTGTCATGTTCGAGTCTAACATGGCTAAGGAAAAACTTGTAATAATAGTTCTTAAGTCAGTAACAATTATTTAGTGAGAGGAAAGGAGCAAAGTCCAAATGAATAACTGGACTGTAGCTTCTTGAGCACACTTACTGTCACTTCTGACCTTGGGCAAAAGGATGTGTCCTTCTGAAATACAGTAAGTGATATACTTGGTGAGACTGGGACAATTTGTATGAAACATCCTTTGTGTGTGTAGAAGATGCCTTTTCCTTTCACTTCTGGACACATCTCTCTGTAGTATATATACCTTTCAGTTAATACTTCTAATCTATGAACTGCGTGCTGTCTAGTGAGGTTGAATAGATACTGCTATGCAGGCCTTGAATTCTTATACTTGAGAAGTCTCAGATATGTCCTTATTGCGTGCTTTGAGATGCAGGTTTTCAGTGGGATAGATATAGGGAGGGTGGGCTGGGTAGGGATTACCTGTGTTTTATTCTACCTCAGGGGAAGATAAATGAGAAAAGAGCCTGCTGACGCAGTGAGCTGTTGCAGATCCTGTGTGGTTTTTTTTTCTTTTGGTATGGGCGAGAATGTCCTAGGGAATGTGGGATTGTGTTTGGGTGGCGGGTGGAATTTTAGATAGGCATGTTGCCTGAGGAATGTGCCTTTGGTGTTTTGCTATTATGTTACAGTTTAGATAACTCTGAATTCATTTCCCTTATTCTTCCAGCTGTTTTTCAAGATCATAATGCAGCAGAAAAATGAAAGAACATAGAAGAAACTTGCTTTATACAAGAAGTCAGTTGCTCGCCCAGTCTAGAAGATGGACCCCTGGATTTTGGGAGCTCAGGAAATGCTACTTCCAAAAGTATTTCTTCCTAGCTAAGAAGAAAAGGCAACATAATCAGCTAATTGTGAGCTTAAATCGCAACAAATTGTACAGGAGACTCCAATGCAGAAGGAAGGCACTTGAGCTTCAGAGCAGCTGGGCTCGTGATGTGCTTCTCAGTGCCAAAACCTATGAAAAACCTACTGTTGAACATAGCGCTTTCCTTACAAAAATACTGAGGGCAAGAAGGTCCTGTCCCTATGGTAAAACCAAAAGCCCATCTGCCGAAGCAGTAAAAAACCCTTCAACAATGAATGCTTTCAGCATGAAGGTCCCTTGAACAAAGGATTAGAAACTGGTGCTGTTCTTGATAGCATCTGTGGCAGTATCCATTATGTCTCGTGTGGTATGCTGCATGGTGCTGCCTTACCTGTAATGAGAGATGGGTTTGTGTTTAATGGGGAGGAGAGAAGCAATGGCGAGGGCAACACAGTCCTAGTAGTTTTGAACAACTGTAAAAGGAAATGCTGTTGCAAAGGGAGTGGAATGGAACTTGTGGCCCCTTGACAACTATAAAGAGGTCCAAATTTAACCATCACACTGTAAAGAAGAGATCTTTGTTTATGATGCATAAGAAACTTTCTGTGGTTAAGTTTCGGTATAGAATTTTAAAATTCCCAAAACTTCGAGCAAGAGGCAGAGCCTGCAAATCAAGGAAAATCAAGCCAAGGCAGGTGGAGAAAGTTACAAGAGACCCTCGAGAGACTCCCCAGTGGGACTTTGAAGGCAGATTGTGTAATTGGCTCTCCGACTGGAAATTTAAAAGTAACTGTCTTTGGAACCAGTACTGCTTATCAGATATGAACAGTAATACACCTGAATCTTTAGCTGAGGAAAATGAAATATGTGCACCTGAGATCTGCCGTACACAGGATGTGTTACCATGTACTGAGCTGTGTTCTCAGGAGCCAGAATCCCGAGGTCAGGATGGCAGCGATGACTCTGTCCAGCCAGAACTGCATGCTAGAGCTTCTCCAGAGGCAGAGACCTTGCACAAGGTGGAGACAGATGAGGCTCTGGCAGAGGGTCATTGCTCTGACCTTTTCATCTCTGTGACAGAAAAAGAAATTGCTATTTCAGGTCAAGATGATGCAGAATCTAATCAGGTTATGGGTGTAGATGAAGTGGTACTGTTACAGTCCTCCTTGCAGGATTCTGATGTGAATGATAATTTTGCAAATGGACCTTTATCCATGGAGCTGGCACACAGCGAGGACAGCTCTAGCCAAATGGAAGTAGAGGGCTCTTTAAACCTGGACATTTTTAGTGCAAAGTTACTAGATCACCCTTACTGTAAAAGTCCTCTTGAGGAGCCTTCACCAGAAAGCCCAGGACTAAAATCAGGAACTCGGAAGGGAGGCAAAAAGCCAAGCCAGAAAGCTTCCCAGGTGGCTGATGAGCAGTTGGCAACGTGGCTTTGTGGTATACCTTTTACACATCTTAGGGCTTCCAGCAGTTCCTGAAAACCACTGAATGTATCATCAAGTTTATATGTTGCTTTAATTCATTTATTAAAGTGATTTCTCATTGTGAGTTGTAAAAGGTGCTTAGTGTAACGCTTAATGAGATGAGGCTGCAAAGAGGAGGGTTGCATGAAGAAAGGCCTAATTAATGCTTAGCTAAAAAGCTGTTTTTGAGGGATTGTTAAATGGTGCATGTGCTTATTTTTTTAGATAACACAATGTAATTTAATTGGATTCCTTGTGCAGTGTTATTGATAGACATTTGAAATATCTCTTACCGTGAGGTTTCAGACATGGGGTTAAAACTTCCAATTTTTTAAATGAGTGACAGTTACTACTATTAACCTGGTTTTTTTAAAACCCTTAGTGTTCTATACTGTCTTCCAGTACTCACCTTTTGCTCTGTCTTAAACTGAAACTAAATCACATAATTCTATTATCTCAGGTTTTAATAGCCAGATGCTAGTAGTTTCACACTCAGTTTTCTCCATGATTATTGATAAAGTAGATTTAATTAATCTTATTTGACAATTTTTAAAAAAGGAAAGGCAAGATTAGTCTTTCTGGAGTTTGTTTAGCAAAAGGCTTTGAGGTTTTTGGTCAGTGCTGGGCATGCATAATTTAATAGTCTTCAATGTGAACATGGTTAAAGTAGTAACCATTATCTTATGTGTATCAGGATCCTTATACATACAGTAAAGATTAGGAAGCTAACGCTGTGTCATTCAGCACTCTTGATTAGTAACGCGTTCATGTCCAGTGGTGTTCTGATAACGTAAGTATTCTTTTGGAAAAGTTGGCTTCGTAGATTCCCACAAACCTGAAGCTGGTGTCAGCTAATTTAAAAAAAAAAATTTTTTTTTTTTGAGGCTTGATACGCTCATTTTTCTCCTCCCTGCTCCCCTTTGTCCTTGCGTAGAACTCCTGCCTTTCCCTGCCCCTGGAATTTTACAGTTGGTTCTCTAAAGCATAATGTGAAAGAATGACAAGTTGGGTGCGCAAGATGATTTAGCATTCCATATACGTATATGCAAGTTAGTGTGGGACATGTTATTCTGTGGCTGATTTTACATGATTCAGCCAGGACCTGGCACTATGTAAGAAACAGAAGCTGGGGTACTGCAATGAACAGGCTGTTTCTGCAGTGCAGTTTTATAGTTTGTCTGGCAGAAAAAGAGATGTCCTCTTTGTAGCAGAGAACCAAGACTGCAAAGGTTAAAGTTTTGTGGTCTGATAAGCCCTCGTGTTCCTGTTCATGAGAGGCCTGAATAACTTGTTTAAAAAAAACAAAAAAAAAACCACCCCAGAATATTTATGAAGACATCCAGCAAATGCATTAAACTTTCCAACACTTCATGATTTTTCAGAGAATTCTTAACTTTTGAAAATAGGTGAGAACAGCTTCCATTGCAGGACTCACCTCTGAGGGTTGAAGCTAGGTCTCCACTTGGAAAGATTTAGTGATGTCAGTACCTCAGCGTTCCTGGCAGAAACTAACAGCTTAAGTACAGTTCATACCCATAGCGTAGTGCTTCTGGCTTTTCTCGGCTGAGAGAAGGTCTACAAAAGCATTTTAATGTTAGTGTAACTATCTATGTACATGAGTTTTTGCCTATATAGGAGTGTTAACAATTAATTGCACCCTGAAGTGATAGTGCTAACCTGGCAAAAGTTCTAGCATAGATGCGTGAAGGAGATGTTGCAAGTGTTATGGAAGCTCTCCGGGTTTTGAATTTCTCTGCAGCAGTTGAGCTTGGATGTTAATGGGCTGCAGCATTTAGCGCACTCTTATGTACTACTAAGTATCTCACAGTACTCCGTGGAAGTTGTTTGCGATGGTAGTCTGATCTTGCATCAGATCTGAACTTCTGAACTTGAACTTTCCTCCTTAAGTTTTTTAGTTACACCAGCTCAAATGAGGTCAAAATCTAGCTAGACATCTGCTAAAACTTTCTAGAGCTTTTCTACTGTGATTGTAACTCCAAGAACACTCCTTCTGATGTGTGTATGAATGAAAAGCTTTTCTTAAAATTTTTATGTATTACAAGTGAGGTACACTTCTAAGCCCTGTGCATCTTCTCTCTAGACTTGTAGCCAGAGAGAGAAATATCCTTCCTGTCACAGTACGCTAAAATGTAGGGGATAAAAGTTGTTAGGTAAGTGTGGCAGAGTTGCACTGAAGGATATCTTCCAGTGATGGATGCTTCCTTGTTGTCTGATCTCACTCTTCAATCCTTCCTTCCTTCTGTCACATCCAGGTGAATTTCTTGCTATATCTTCACTACTTTTCTTTTTGTCTTGCATTTTGTGCTTGGTCTGTTTTCTTCTTTGTTATTTTTTCTGAACTGCTGTTTCTCTGGCACTTTATTCTGTCAGATGTTTCTCTTGTCTTCTTTCCATCTCTGTCCTTGAAATTTTCCAGGCAATATCATTAAAGCCTCAATAAGCAGAGGACTAAACATATTGCAATATTCAGTGATATTCTCTCTCATCATACGCAGGGCTGAGGAAAGTACTGGAATCTGGGTTAGAACAATTTCTGTGGACCCTGTTCTGAGATCCAGCTTTCTTTCTGTATATAGAACACATGTTTTCTGCTGCATTTTAAAATTCATTTTTGGAAAGCTGGAGAATTTGGCTTTTTTCTTGTTCTCTAAGTGTTGAAATCCTGTTGTTCCATTCTTTCATTCTCATTGTGGTTTTGGATGCTTGGATGGGATTTATGTTTCCACTGTTCTGGTCTTTCCATCTGTCTGAAAAAACTCAATTTCTTAGGGTGTGTTTTAACCTCTCCAGCATTCATCTCTTCCATTATTTTCCAGTTAGTGTCTTTGGTGTTTTGGTTGCCCAGTGCTTTCCCAGACAGTGGCAGGCTGACATGGCTGGCCATGACATCTCAAATGCCATCCCTAGAATGTTAGGGTGAATGAATTAAACTTGCTGACAGTCTAGTGTATTTTCCACTTGCTGCGGTGGCAGCTGAGGAGCTGAACAGACTGCAAGCACTCTGCTGACTGGGATTGTTTATATTTGAGGAGAGCAAATCTGCATACTGTAAGGACGCTGTTGCGGAAAGTGATGGCCTTTCATATTGCAGTAGAATTACTTAGGAAGCTAATTGAAATAGGCAGTGGGTTGGATCCTCCTCTTAGTATTGATGTAATTAGAGTGAGGTAGAAATCTGTATATGGCAAGAATGGGGTCTGATCTTTTCCTGTAAAGCTGAGTGATCAGAGTTCTGGCTTTCTGTTCTTGTCCTCTCTTCCACCTCTCATCTCCCTTTTATTTCATGTTGCCAATCTGAGCTTAGGTTTTTTAAATATTTGACATATGCGGTGCTATCTGTTGGTTGGGTGCAGAATGTTTGCTGCTAGTACTTGGTAGAAACGACTGCTTTATTGGACCAGTGAACTTGGAGGCTTTTTTTTTTTTAAATGTTTGCACTTTAATTTTTCTGGTATATTTAAAGGATTCCTAGATGAAGTTATGAAGAAATATGGCAGTTTAGTTCCACTCTGTGAAAAAGATGTCATGGGAAGATTAAAAGAAGTCTTTAATGAAGATTTCTCCCATAGGTGTGTAGCAGTAACATTCTAGACTTTGTAAAGGAAAAATTGCTCGCATTGCTAATGCGCGCTCCATATGGAACACCTAATGGAATAGAAGTGCGTTTGGTATGACCTTGAAATTGACTTATTTCTTTTTACCTTTTTAATCCTGTTTTAGAAAACCTTTTATCACCAGGGAAATCATGAAGTATCGGGAAAAACATCCAAAATTTGCTACTTGCAATTTCCGGGTCTTCTATAATAAGCACATGCTAGATATGGATGATTTAGCTACACTGGAAGGCCAGAACTGGCTGAATGACCAGGTTAGCGATGGTTGGTGTTTATGTGTTTCTTCACCCCCTTCTAGCCCTTGTATGTTAGTGTATCGGTAGCTCACATACCATACATCATATACATAGATATAATTCACGTTATATCTAAAGACTATCCTTACTTTATAGCTGGGAGGCAAAAGAAAGTGGTTGAGGGGCTTTTACAGTGGCAGATGCAGTAACAGTGATTACAAGTTTGGAAGACAGGGAGTTTTGCAACTAAATGATTTCTTTTTTGAGAAAATGATGCAATATTTTGAGAAAATAATGGTTACCCATATACATTAAAGTGTTCATTCCCTCCCTGCCCTTAGCTTAATACTAGAAGAGCAGCATACAAGACCGGCAGAGTGAAGCAGCAGACTGTGGCCCATAGCCAAAAAGCCAAGAAGGCTGCAGTGCCCAGGACGTGCACCAGTAAACTAAATTGAATTAAACTCTTTCAAATTGAGGCAGCCTTCAAGCAGTAAGTTATACAGTCTCTCTCCTGGCAGGCCATTGTTAGTTCCAGAGTGCTTATCCCCCAGACTACAGCAAAATGTTACTATAATTGCTCACTTCCTTATTACTTTTAGGTGTGAAAAGTCCTACTTTTTATGGGAACTTGTCAATTTTGATTTTACAAAATTTTTCTGTACGTATTGAAATATCTCCTAACTCTTACAGATAATTAACATGTATGGTGAACTCATAATGGATGCAGTCCCTGAAAAGGTGAGAGTTTTTGGGTTTTATGCAAATGTAACTAATGAAAGATTGAGTGGGAAAGGTGAAACACTGAATATTTTGGATACAAGATAAAGATGCAGCTCAAAATGATACACCAAGTGGTTTGCTTGTAGCATGAGTGACACCCTTTTTGCTATCTGTAGCTCACATTTTGTTTCTTTACAGCACTAAGTTAGTTTTCAGTGCTGTTGCTCATTTCAGGAGTTTGTTGGATTAGCTCTGCAGAGGTGGTATCTGTGGTAGCCTGATGTTAGTGACCTACCTGTGGAAGGCAGGTGCCCTGCTTTCCCCACCCCACCGTCCCTTCTCCACTAGAGATTTTTGTCTCCATCATACCTGCTTCGAAAGCACTTTACCCGTGCCCTAATTCAGAGTCCATTCTTAGCTGAAATTCCCCCTGAAGACTGATTTCCGCTGAGATGACAGACCATGAATGGTGGCATCTGAACCATGCACATGTGCTACTTGCCCCTCTGCCAGCTGTGGGGCAGTAACAGCTCAAACAGCTACAGCTGCCTGGTCTGGTGAGTGAGAATTAACACAGCTGCTTGGTTTCTCAGCAGTGTTGACTTTGCAGGACTCTACTCTGGTTTGTGCATCCTCAACAGAATGCTAACTACTTTTCAATTGCAATGTCTCTAACTGTTGGTGGTAATACATAGGATACCTGAATAAAACAATTCCCTTCTCCCCCCCCCTCCCCCCCCACACCCCCAGTGACTTGCTCTTGCAGCAGTGGCAATTATAAAGAACCATCTGTTTACTAGTAGAGCTGAACAATTTTCAGGTGAGACCACAAAGGAAGAACCAAGCAAAGCCATTTTTAGATTGGCTCTGCAGAATGTAATGCTTAAAGTCTTTGAGCTCAGAAGAAAGAGCAGTGTTGCTTTGATTTGTGGTGATGGTGATTCTTCATTAATATTCTGTGTACTTCCTGAGCGTGAACTAGGCTTGAGGTTTGGGAGATGATATGTGTTTGCTTGTGCCTTCTTTTTTTCATAGTGCATAATTGAAATCCTCCTGGGACATCTTGTGCTAGTACCCCAGAATATGGTTTTGAAGTCTGTTGGCATAGCTAATGGGTGTTAGCTGGCATTTTCAGATGCTGAATTCGCTTAACTTTTTTTTTTCAAGTAATAACTCAAGCCTTCTATCACCTCTGCACTAGCAGAATTATTTAAAACAGATGTTGCAGGTTTGCATTTGTATTAATCTGTTCCTGTAATTGCAAGAAGCTAAGCACAGGGGATAATAGTGTTAACCTGGAGCTAAATATTTTTTTAATATAAGTCGACAGTCTCTTGCTATAAATGCAGGTTTTTAGTTACTCGCAGAACAGATGTGGTATAACTTTAAAATGCTTTTAACTAACAGAATATTGCTTTTGTCTGAAGTCAGGAGCTGGCTATGGCAGTTGAATACAAATGACCCTGTTGGATTAAATATCATAACTTTTTTTGATCAAAACATTTTTTTGAGTCTCAGCGCTTCTAGCAACTGAAAGCAGAAGTTATTCCCTTCTGTACCACCCCCACCTCCCCACTCCAGTGATCTCTTCCTTAATCTCTGGAAAGGAGAGAAAAACAGAAGTTGTAATTCTTTATCCTGATGTTTTTCTCCTCAGCCCACCCTCAACCAAAAAATTAGGTACGGTATGTCTGGAGATATCAGTGTAAATATAAATGCTGCAGCGATTCATATCGCATGTTGTGGGGCAACAAGGCTTACTCTCTCTGTTCTCTAAAGAACAGCGAAAGTTTGGGCTTGGTAAAGCATCTGTAGTGTTGTTTGCCCCTATTGGGGTTCTGTTTCTAAACCTGCATTAAATATTACCTCATTAAGAATTGTTTTGTATAAGTTATCCTTGGGGAATGGGTATGGCTATGCATGAAGATTTCTGTGCTCATTCTTCCTCTCTCTTTTTTTTAGGTTCATTTCTTTAACAGCTTTTTTCATAGACAGCTCGTAACCAAAGGATATAATGGGGTAAAACGATGGACTAAAAAGGTATCCTTTAACTCCATGTAGTCAATGCTCTGATTCTTTTGGGCTGGGTTGAACCACTAACTTGAAATTGGGTATGATGTGTTATATGCAAAGGACAGGGTTAAGAGTTGTGCAAAATTGGGTGTGCCTCCCCCCCCCGGTGATACTGTTCAGGTTAGTATGATTATGTTCTGAAAATGTACTTTGTGAATGGCTACATCTTAGGTGGAGGTTAACTCCTTGGGTAAGTTAATGAAAGCTGTTTATTCAGCTGCCAGAACTGTCTCATAATGGTCCTGGCAGTACCCAGTCCACTAGTCTACAGGAGAGCAGGCTTAATCCTGCTTCCTTTTTATCTCAGTCTGGAGCCATTTGATAAAATCAAATTGTTACTGCTAAGTAACATACAGATACTAGAGGACAGATACTAGAGCAGTAGTGAGTAGGCCGAACTGTTGCGTGTATGACAAGGACAAAATTCACCTTGCTTTCCAGAACCCATGCTATATCATGTATTGTGGTACTTTACTGGGGCAACTAATGCAAAGAGCCCTTTTTTCCTGTTAACGTTTGGCCTTTCTAATATGGGAGATGAGACACTACTAATAAAGAACCACATCTGAATGTATGCTCTTTTTGCAGAAGCACTTTAGCGTTTCACAGATGTGTGCTCTTTAAGATGAACTCAGTATCCAAATATAAAATCTATTCATATAATTTATTAAAATCTCTTTAAAGAGACACTAAATCAAAGCATATTTTATTGATGCTTATTACTGCTGGATTTAAAAATGAAAACCAATTTTCTCCACTTTCTGAAAGCAGAACCTGTGTTCATGTTCTTACTGAGTACCCAAATGAGAACAGGACAGTTATGTAAATTCCTGAAAAATCTCTAAAGCAGTTTCTAAGCCATTTCCATTGGAAGAATGCAGGTAGACTGCTTCCTCCTGCAGTATGCAATTAAGGGGAACTTGTTTCTCCTTTTTAAACACAGAGTATTTTACAAGGTTCTAAAAAAAGCATTATGCATTTTTGGGATAGAGCCTAGAAGGATGCATTCTTGTGCACCTAGCAGAAATGGTATCAGACCTACTGATATGTATCTGTTCATATGTATCTGTTCTGGCCACTGATTGGATCGGCCCTCCTACTCTGATTCACTGTCACGTTAGCTGGCTGACTCAGCGATGTCTAGAAGTGACTCTAGGCTGCCAGTCATTCATGTGCATCAGGTCTTAGTTAAGACACTTCTGTCTCTTGGCTGCCTGTTCCCATTTTTCTGCTGAAGGTTTGCAGTGCTGCTGCAAACCCAAAGCTGGAGTCACATGAGGACCCTTGAGTTTAGCTTGGCTCTACCGTTGCTGCACATCAGACTGCATCAGTGTAGTTCATTTGTCTTATTTCAGCTTTCCTTTGTGGGCTGGGCTTGCTGGCTGACATCTCCCTGCTTCTCCTGCCTGAACATGATGGATTGTTGTGTACTAAGTGTGCTGTAATCTGGTCAGGAAGCAGTTTCTGCAGGTGGGAGCAGGCATAGTAGGTGCCCATGACAATCGAAATAGTATCATGAGCAAGACTCCACTAATAACTGCTGTGAACGCTCAGACCTTTTTGTGCCTTCTGTTTTCTCGTTGTTACTCAAAAGGAGTACTTTTCTTTCTTACCAATGACCTGTCTTGTACCAGTAGTGCAGCAATTATCCTGTTCAAATTGCATAGTGCTTAAAAAAAGGCCACACAGAAAACTTCCCATAGGATGAGTTCATATATTGCAGTGTCCTATTTCTGCATATTTTCTGGACTCTGCCACTGAAACCCCAGCAATTAGAGCTCTATTTAGGGAGACTGTGAGACTAGCTTCCAAAGTGTAAACAGGCTCATCTGCTGCACAGACACCAGGGGTCTTGTCTGACCCTGCTTGTTCTGTACTTCAAAACCTCCCTTGTTTGCTATGAGATTAAATTTAACAAAGCATGAGTCTGTCTGCTGTCTTTACCTATCTCCCTTCCCTCGCTCACCAAAGCACCTTGCGCTCCTTTTCAGTGCTCCTCTGATAACGACATAGCCCATGTTATGGCAGAGGGAGTCAGAAAACTGTACCAACTTGCTGGTTTTGTGGTGTGTTTTTAAACACAATTGCTTTATCTGTCACTGTCTGTGATGTAAATCTGATATAAATCAGTGGTGTTTATACTGAAAGAATATCATTACAAAAGATATGCAACTGACCTAACTTGAGCCCAGGTTGTGTTACCAGCATTACTTAAAACAAGTCCCACTTCACCATAGTCTTTAAAATGTAACGTGAGTAGGCTTTGCTGCAAATGCAGTGGTGACTAACTCTGCTGTGCGGCTCTCCTTAGGTGCTTTACAGACCGTAACTGTGTGTCTGTGCCTGCGAATGAGCTGTGTGTGAGAGAAACACAAAGAATGTTTTGGAGGAGTGGAGGGTGAAAAAGACAACTTCACTTAGGGGCTGGTGGAAAGAAGACTTGAATAAAATCTGATTCATGCTTTCCTGTATCCTGGCTGTGGAATTGTTTCTAATGTATATTCTTCTTGCCAGGTGGACTTTTTCAAAAAGGCTCTCTTGTTGATTCCTATTCACCTGGAAGTCCACTGGTCCCTCATTACTGTGAACATCCCCAATCGAATTATTTCATTTTATGATTCCCAAGGCATTCATTTTAAGTTTTGTGTAGAGGTAAGAGTGACAGCTGTTTGCAAAGTTTGAACTGATTTATTAAAAATAAACACAACCCCTCTCTGTCTGCTTATCCTGAAACTTTAAATGCAGTGTGTTTTGTTGTTGTCCTGCCATGTGTGAAATGAGGATTAGCTTGTTCTGCTAAGGAGGAGTCTGATGGATGGACCTGGAGGGTCACTGAGTGAATGCACAGCAGACCTGGGAGTTGAGGACAGATTGCCTATTGCCTAGATGGCCTGTGGTAATTGGCACACCTCTTGTTGCTTGGTCTTGTCCTTCCCACAAAAAGCAGGATCTCAAAGCACAGTGAATAGGAAAGTTGACTAGTGAGAAGGAGAGCGAAAGCAGCTCTTAAAGACAGAAGTCTGCTAGTGTTTTAGGAAATGATAAATCTCGGTCCTTTTTAGAGGAGGGTGCCTGGGTGAGAGACTAGGACTGAAGAGGCTATAGCACTGCCCAGTGTGGTTTACCTATTACTGTGCTATTATAGCGTATTGCCTTTTTCCTCTCCACACTGAGTTGGGGTGTGTACCCCTCATTATAACCCAGCATGCTTTTGAAGCTGCTACCTGAATATTGGAGTTAAAGCATCAGTCTTTCTCATAAAGAGCAGTCAGGAAGCTTTTGCTGGGTCTAGCAAATTGTAATGACCCTCTTACAAAGGCTAATTTTGTCAGCTTAATTGCCTGCTTGATGCAGCAGCCCTCTACTTTTAAGTGTATGTAGTTGTTGGTTTACAGCAGAGTAGTAATTATTGTACCCAGGAGAGCTCACAGCCAGGACATCTGAATGGAGATACTTGTTTCCTGCTGGCAATTGCTGAAGATGAAGCTAATTTTTCAACTGGAAGGGAGTGGCCTTGTGCTCTCTAGCTTCTGAACTTGCTGCATAAACCAGAGATCCCTCTCAGCAGCCCTACAGACTCTCCTGCAGTTTTGCGGTGTGGCCTCTGCCATCCCTCTCAAGGCAAGGCGCTTGCCCTTAGTTGTCTCAAACATGAGACACTTATTCCTGCCTTTTCTAGGGGAGGGGATCAATATGCAGAGATCCACTGTGATACGTAGAGCTAAGATGAATGTTAGCGTGCTGGAATGAGTGTTTAAACTGTAATATGAAACACCGGTGTATTTACAGAGAAGTAGAGGGATTTGCTTAACCCAAGACCAGAGGTTCATTTACCTTACTTCCTTCTCTTCGTCCCTTCACTTGTCAAACTGTTGTTTTCTGTACGTCACTAAAACACTCCGTGGAGCTTTGCTGATTAGCTGCAGAATGCAAAGCTTTTTGTATTGAAATTCAAGCTGAAAATGCTTTTATCTTGAACGTAAGGGCCTCGGGGTCAGCTGAATGAGTCAGGAAAGAACATGTGCTGGACTGTGTAGTGTCTCTCCATATCGGAGAGCACGCTCACTGTTAGTGCCCCATCTAGTCTAGTATTAAGTATACTAGTATACAGTGGAATGAGGAGTGTTAAAGCTCCCTTTAAAGACCAAGAGGAGCCTTGATGGTAGAAGGTGCAGTACCCAGCAGTTACCTCTTTACCTCTAGATCTGAGCTTAGCTCCTAATACTTATCGCTCTCCTGAAATTCATCCTCACTGTCAAAAGGATGCCAGGGAAGATGTCAGTCTTTTTCTTGTACGTTAACTGGTGAATAATATTGTTCCTTTTTCATATCCTTTTAAAGAACATTCGAAAGTATCTGCTGACTGAAGCAAAAGAGAAGAATCGCCCTGAGTTTCTTCAGGGCTGGCAGACTGCTGTGACAAAGGTAAATGCCAGCACCTCAAGCCCTGCAGTTAGACCTCCTACAAGACCCTAGGACACTGTTTCTAAACCAACTTATTTTTGCAAGTAGGAAATTGTTTTATAGGGAGGATGATAGGAGCCACACAAGTGACTACACAGGCTAATTAGTACTCTGCTCATTCAGCTCCCATCAGGTCTTTAATGCTTTCTGTAAGTGACTTGGTCATCTGAGCCTAATCTCTAGTCAATTAGATACCTATGCAGCAAAACCTGTCGCTGTTGCCCATGTTGGCACAAGGTCAAGGACTGAATGAGCTGGAGGCTCAGCCTTCTGACTTCTCCAGAAGGGGCTGTGCCAAATCATGCCAAATGGATGGGATTTGATGAGGGAGCAAACAAGCTAGTGCTGTTGCTTCTTGTATTTTATATTCTCTATGGATAGAGGGCTTTGGTCTCCAGGGCTGTCTGTGGCACACTTTGATCACAAGTAAACAAAGTCTGGCAGCAATAAAAGGGAACAACTTGTATGTAGTGCAAATGAGGGAATGTGTGATTTGCGTAACCCTCCCGTAATGGCTTCAAAGATATAAAACAGGTCATTGCACACTAGACACTCCCAACAGCTCCCTGCTTGTACAAGATTATTTTTAGGTTCTGATACAATGATGAAATTATTTCCCTGCACACTCATGCACACCCTTTGTAGTGAGTTTGTCTTTCATTCTGTCAAGTGGAAGACTTGGGAGTTAAGGAAAATTACTTTTTTTTCCCCTTTGAGTGCTAGAGACACAGTCGCACTAGTGAGTGGGGCTTTTTAGTGCTGCATGTCAAAACTGAGCATGTTTGAAGAAGTTAAGATGGTCGAAAGTTACCACTTGAGATTGCTTCACTCAGTCCTGCTGCCTGACAGCATACTGCCCTCTGTTTTTTGAGATGCTTTGCTGTGACTTGGAGTAGAAAGCCACTGCCAGTAGCGTGGATGCCGAAAATAATCTACTCGGCATGTGTGACTGCTGATTTAGTTAGGTTCTGTGTAAAGCAGATAGTGCTGTACAAACATTTATTTAAACTAATTAAGCAGCTGTTCTGCATAGGTCACTAAAAGAAAATAAACTTGAAAGAAAGATCTGAATTTGTGTTGTCCTACATTATATATTTTTCTAAATGTTAGATGTTATTGTAACAAGGTGCTGAGTGTCACCTTGCAAAAGTTGGGCTCGGAATAAGTAATTACAACTCTGCTTTCTAGTGCTGCAGAAAAACAGATAGCTCTGAGAACAGAGCCCTAATCTTTTTGCAGGATCTCATTTTGGATTTTAAATAAGACTTAGAATTAAAGGACAGCTAAAGATCTAACGTGGCACTTCATGTTTCTTTCCGTTCTAGTGCATTCCACAACAGAAAAATGACAGTGACTGTGGGGTTTTTGTGCTCCAGGTAAGTGTACTTTAAAAAAAAAAAAAAAAGATGCCTGTATTGTTCATCTTGTAAATGTCTTTTCAATCAAGCCTTTTCCTTTCCCTCAGTACTGCAAGTGCCTCGCCTTAGACCAACCTTTTCAGTTCTCCCAGGAAGATATGCCCCGAGTGAGAAAAAGGATTTACAAGGAGTTGTGTGAACGCCAGCTAATAGACTAATAAAAAGCAGCCAAGTTATTTCTCTAGTATTTCTGACAAGTTGCAGCTGGTGTTTGTGTACTTGAATTTCTGAAAACTTCCGTGAATTTTGAGTGACTCTCAGCTGAGTGGTGTGGCCACTGTTGTTACCTCAACTTTTTCTGACAAGCTCTTTACCTGGCAGAATGCAACAGAGCTGCCGCAAAAATATTTCTCATGTCTGTTTTGTTCTCTTACATTCTTTCCTGTATTTAATATTTATTATCTAAGCATGCATATAGGCAAAGCATGCAACTATAAAAACAAAACTGTAGATTTGGTGCACCTTTGAAACGTAGCTAGAAATGACAAATACAGTTGAATTTGTCTGGAAACATAAAGATGCATGATCTGTTTTCTGATGCAATAATGCTTTGAATGTATCAAAAAGCCCTTAATGCCATAAAAAGAACAGCTAGAACCTATTTGATTATTCCATTTTTCCCTACTGTGGCTGTATAATACTGAATTGCCACTCTTTTAGGGTGGCAAATTCATGTACAGATTTGATTTCTGGAAACCCCTTTTTTTTTTTAAAGAGCTCAAGTTGCTAATAAAAATTTGTTCTGTTTACATTTATCCAGCTGTCATTATCAGCCTGTCTGTATAGATGAAAAGCAGCCTTTGCACAAATAAAGCTTCAGTACTTGTCTGTATAATAAAAAGTACAGAGATGTTCGGTTAGTCTGATAGTATATTCCTATGTGCTACAGAAGTTTCCGGGGCGTGTGTGTTAAGGGCATTATAAAGCTCGTCCTAAAGTGTCAGTTTAGATACCAAGATAAAATCCTTGGGTGTAACTGCTTAAATCTCAAGTGGCTTTGAGTCATTTTTCACTTCCACAATATCAATTGAAATGTACCATTTCAGCATCTTTCACTTCTGTCTTCAAATCAATTCCCTTATAGCTTGTTGTCTTTACCATTGGCTTTTTTGCCTTTGGTCAAATATAAATGCATTTTTGCTGCATCTGCTATTTGATTGTCTCAAGCATCTCTAGTTTTGTTTTGGTTCAGTAGCACTGATGGGTCTAGTTGGGAATAACAGCACTTGTGGTGGGTGCTGTACAAACTCAACAGAACAACGTCGTTCTGCTCCGGAGAGGCTGGAGCCTGCAACTCTACCACCAAACTTTGCCCAGGACAGCAATGCTGCACAAATAAGTGAGAGCAGTGGGTCTTGAAGCTTTGTTTGTGGCCTTGCTCCGTAAACCGTGATGTGGTTGTTCCTGAAGAAAGCTTGTTTTGTTTGAAGAGACTTTTTGGGACAGCTACAGCAGCAAATGTCTTTAGCTGTGTTTCCCTGCCAGTTAGAGGTGAGCCCGTGGAAAACTATTTCTAATGCTAAATATCGTCCATTGCACTTCTTCATCAAGTGCCTGTCCATAGCCTTGACTTCTGATGGAGGAAGCTACTTTGGCCTCCCTGTGTCTTGCAAATTGATTCAGGCTTGAGCAGATCCCTCCTAGATTGCTGAAGGGAGCAAGGAGAAATGAGAGAGTGCCAAGTGTAGTCAGACTTAGGAAATGAAAGCGTGCTCACAATGTGCTGTGCTAGGAGGAGGTCCTGCAGTTTCTTTGTGTGTTCCTACTTCCCCTGTGGGCAGCTGGCAAGGGCTGGCTTACCTTAGCAAGATTAGGAAGGCCTTAAGCACTTGGTTAGATAATTTGAACAGGGAACTTACTGAATCAGAACCTTAAAACCCAAACTGGCCAAATCCATTGTATGGGGCAAAGGACCCCACAGCGCATGGTTTCTATGTAAATCCTTCTCAGGACCAGTTGCTGAGAGCAGTGGAGGGTGACATCAGTGAAAATTTAAACTTGGGATGTAGTTCTCAAGTGCTAAGCTAAAGTATGTAAGCCAATACTGCCTTTCTCTTCCTCCCTTCCACCATGTGGTAGGACCAATTGAACTGATCCAGATTAAAACTAACCCAGCCAAAAGGCTGCTCTTAACCCAGAAGAGTTCTAGCCTCAATCTGTCTTGTCGCTAAATGTTTGTACTAGCACAAATGAAGAGGGAGAATTGGGTGGTCAGGAAAAGACATGAAAGCAGTGCCAAATTTGGATGTGAGTGAAGTTATATCCTCAGGCAGGACTTACTTCAGAAAGGGAATGAAATACAGAAAGAAAACTGCATAAAAAGTTGTCTTTGCTTTCCAAACTTGAAGTTTGGTAAGGAAATGTGGAAGACTTGCTGTGACAGTGTACCAGCCTGGGAGACTCTCAGTACCTCCAAGGAAACCCATTATTTTTCATGCAAGATGCCTTGCTGATGGGCTTTCTTCATTACGTGAGCATGTGTTGGAGCTCTGAACCACAAATAGTTCTTTCCTGAAACTTGGTGCCTACTTGGTAGGAATCTGACTTTCCTCCTTTTTATGAGAACCTGGAAGGAGTCTTAAATCCTGATCCTTCATCAGTAGCATCAGCTAAAAGGACAATATTTCTTTGAGCTTTGTATTTAACAACAACATCAATGCTTTGAAACAACTTCATATGCGTACCAGATCACTTGAAGGAGGGGGTCTTGCATTTGAATCTGCTGCTTTGCGAGTTGGGGAATAGCGTAGAGAAAGATGCATGTTAAAAAATGCTCCTTATATGCTTGCTTGTCGTCTAGAGGTTTGTTGACAAGTGTTCCAGTTGGTTTTTGGGGCAGCGTAGAGAAGTTGCACTTGAGTATCCAGTTGTGAAAGCACCAGTGAGAGGCCTTCAAAAAAAGAAGAAAAGGGAAATTGACAACAGCTAATGTAAGCAAAGTATGTTGGTGCAGGGTGGCAATTAATCAGAGGCAGTGTCTTCATCTCTGTAATGGCGTATCTTATGAAACTGGACTAATTCGTTCCCCCTTGAGAACGTCTTTGATGCCTTAAAGGAGATGGACTCCATAACCTGTAGTCATTCTACCATTTCTTAAAGCATTCAGAACCATGTAGAGTGTTTTTATTACGAGAGGCACATTTATGTGGATGTAGTTATGGCTATTAGCAATTCCGTTAGTGTGTTTGGCTGATGCTGCAGTCTCATGGCTTGTTCTGAAGACATTGTCTAGCCATGCTGAATTATACAAATGGTCCCAAAACTGGTGAAGCCTCCATCTCATGCGTGATGTATTTAGGCTGAGTTGTAATAAACCTTAAACAAAATTGAAAATAAATTCTTAGTTTATGTTTTCTATTTGCTTTAATCTGTAGCTTAAAATGACTGTGCAGCCGATATAAATCAAAGAAATGCAAAATTTGGCCTTGATTCTGCAAGGTAGGTAATGTCTGTTCCTAAGCTTGTAGATACTTTGCAGAATGGAGGCTGGATCTTCATGCTATCTAATGTACTGTTGCTCCATTCTTACCTGGCCCTTTTGAGTGTAAAGGTGATACTTTGAATGTTTTACTTGCACTGATTAGCACAACTAAAGAGGCTTGCAAAGTGTTGTTGGCTTGTGTTGAACCTCTTGCATAATGATTAGCTTATCTTTTTTCCTCTGAGTTCTGATTGGCATTATCTACTGTAGCATTTGTTGAAGTTAATGTGAAAACTTAAACCTTGGGAAGTGACATGGACCTAACTCCTCCAAGCAACAACTGTTTTGTGGGTGTGCTCTTGAATGAATCGAATGAAGCCCATGTTCCTGTGAAGTAATAAAATTGAGTTTCATCGTAAACCCTATTTTCTTCCAGCAGTTTGGTTTCATTTTAATTTTAAAAGCAACCGATGTGATGGTTGAGGGAATGTTTATAGCAGCTTGTTTTGGGATCTGTTATTAGGAGAAGCCTCTCCAGTTGATTAGTTCAATAACTCTGAAATATATGGTGATGATGCTTTCTGTTCCATAGCATTGCAGTGATATAACTTACTGTGGTTTGAGCTGTGACAACATACAAGACTGGAGATGTCACATGTTGCATGAATAAGGGTGGAAATCTGGCATTAGACGCTGCCTACTAAGGTGGCATTTAAAAAAAACACAGATACGTCTACAGAACAGTAGGACTTAAATTGCTAAAAACTAAACTAAATTAATGCCCTTCTTACAATGCTTGTTAATTTAGTTATGTAATTATAGAGTTAAATCTAGTTTTTGCTGAATTTTACAGAGCCATACCGCTTGTAAATTTGATAATAGGGGGACTGAAGGCTTAGTGTACGTCTCTTTAAGCTATTCATCATGAGCAACATCGTTGTCTTTATTACATTCGTAATTTAAAAATCCTATCATGGAGGAGGAAACATGGATGCTTGTTAAATATATCTTTTCAGGAAGAAGTGCTAAGAAATCAAATCATTAAAATACAAAATCATAAGAGACACTAGGGCCTTGCCAGGAACAATAATTACTCTTTATATGTAATAGGCATTGGGAGGGAAAGATGAGTCTGATTTGCCTGTGCCTGAACTTAATGGATTTTATGAGTAACCAGCTAGAAGGATCTGGGGATTGAATTCAGTTTTCTGAGCATGTAATATTACAACCTATAGAGCTAAGAATTGTTGTAAACTGAGAGTGAAATATCTTGAGAAATAAACTAATTTGTTTTCTCTGAACACAAGTAAATAGAACATGTGCAAAGCAGCTTCTGCTCCTGCCTGAAATCCTGATGAATTCGTAATTTTTGTGTTTGATTTCAGCTTTGCTGGTAACTCATCTCCCTTAACACGATGCTTTCTCTCAAGGTTTCAGTTGCTTCTGAGGAGACTCAGACATCACCTAGCACTTAGGTTTCCTGAGCCCCCCTTGTGGGGGAAACTCCAGTAAGTGGCTGAGTGAAGGGATTGAACATCCATTGGGCAACTTATTCCCCCACCCCCACCACGGGTTAGATGTATCAGAGTGGGAAGGGCAAGGGAGAAACTGGCCTTTAAATAAGAAATAGTCAACTGGATGATGTAGGTTGGGTCATATTTATGATATATGGCTTCATACAGAGAAGGGAGCTATCTTGTTTATGGGAACCTTAGGGAAGAGGGGGAGAGAAATCTGGGGAAGATTTCTGGACTCCTGCCTGTTGCTCCGCCATGCACATGGGGTAGTATGTCTTGCTTCAAGTCCATGCATTTTGGATCGACTTGATGCAGGCAGCAGCTGCAGCTAAAGAGGAAACTCCCTCCACAGCATTCAGCTGAAGATCATGTTTACTGTGGTGGTGGCTTGACACTGCCCTCAGCATATCTGACAGATTTGGCCTAATGAAAAGCACACAGGTGTGCTGCTGCTTCACTGCAAACAGCAGAGCTGCTGTGAAGGCTCGTACAGGGGGGGTGGGGCGGGGGGGGGGAAGGGGTTAACTCTTTTTATAAAGAGAAGTTCAGGTGCAAAAGGAAGTTTTAAAATGTACCTTCACTAAGTATATTTGCTTCTCATTCAGGAAACTTGTCTTCGGAGAGCTGCTTTTGGTGTTGTGTACGGAAATGCTTGTTTCTCACACAGTTAGTCTAAGGAGACAATCTTTAGACACTGCTATTTAAGGGCAGAGAACACACTTCAGGGCTTAATTTTTGGCATAGTTTTGGGTTTTGTCCTCTGGTGGGTCACACATCAATTGAAAGGATTTTTTTTTTTTTTTTAAACTTTAGTACATAAATACGTCTGGAAAATGCTTGAAAGTTTCAGGCTAATAAAACTCAGTGCCTTAAACTGAAGGCTGCTTAGGTTCTTCTAGACACTTAATTGTCCCTGGACAGTATGACCCAATCTTTAAAGATGACTAGTATCTACTCAGAGAGGATCGATGCATCTGGAAGACAAGATGTCTTTGGGGTACTTTAAGGTTCAGTTCCAAAAAATCACTATTTTATTATTTTACAAGAATATGCATTATAAACTGAGCGTGCAGGTCCTGGTGAAGTTCTTGGTAGGGCTATAGCTAATATCCTTTTATGTGTTTGGGGGGGGCACTCTGGGTGTAGCCTCAGTCAGGTTGTTCTTCCCAGTGTACTTTTTGACCACCAGATGTCACGCAAGCACCATAAAAATAGCCTATGCCGTGTGCTCTAGAGCTGAGCTAACAAATTGACTGAGGAATGATGTCTTCTGATTGCGTGTTGCTTGCCACGTTGGTGACTGTAGTCTCACAGCATGTTTCTCAGCAAAATGTGCACTTGCAAAAAGAATGTGTGTATACACACACAAACACACACGCACACACACATATATGTATACATATATATATACACACACACATATATGTATATCTCCCTCCTTTCACTGTTCATCAAACCCACTGAAAATCCTTGGGCATCAAAGATGTAAGAGTTTGGCTCTGGTACGGTTACTGTAGAGTCCCATCAATGCTACAAATTGACCGAAACATTTTTTAGTAGAGAAGTCTCGCATACCAGAAGTCTTTAGCTTGATCAAACTGTTGCTCTACTGTAGATCATGACTTATTTTTATAACTCTATATTACCATGGTGAATGCTGGCAGTGGGGGGAGAGAAACCACATCAGTAGCAACTTCCATCTGATTTGTGGTCATACGCTTATAACTTGACATGGCTTTGCAAATAACTAAACAAAACCAGGAATTCATTTTAGGGGAAGGGAGAGGACACAAAATTCACTGCATTAGATATCTTGTGTGGATAGTCTAACTTGCTCAAAATTTGGATCTTTAAGTGGAAAATGGTTCAGAGCATGAATGGGAGCTGGGGGCTGTAGTGTGGCTGTCCGCCACTGCTGAATGCTGTGACATCCTCTGGGCCCTGGATTTTTAGGAGTTTTGATTTAATTGCTGGTGTCTGCTCAGGCTTTAGCTTAAAATTAGTAAAAAAAAAAAAAAAAAATTCAGGGCTGCTTTTTCTTTCTGTAGTACCTTTATAAATTCCTGTATAATCTGATCTCTAATTTTAGTCTTCTGTCATTTTTGAGCTGTGTATTCTTTAGATTTAAAAAGCAATATTGCAGGAAAATTTAAATTCAAGGCCTACCAAAAGTGCATTTTTCTGCAAATTATTCATTAGTTAAAATATCTTCGAGCTGGTGTTTGTGTAGCTTGAACTTGTGTAAGGGGGCAGATGGTGGGATGGGATACTTAGATTAATACTCGCACAAATACAATGCGCATGCACTCCTTGGCTTTACTGCTGAATACCAAGGCAGCAGTGGGAGCTTACTGTATCTTGGCATCCTGCCCTGTTACCAGTCTTTCAGAGAAGCCCTTGTATGTGACATGCCGTTCTGCTCTTGTTCACTAGGTGGCATTGCTTCCTAGTCTGAAAATTGCTAAATACGTGATTAATTATGCTAATCCACTCAATGGACAGAAAGCAAACTGCATTGCGATAGCTTTGCCCTTCTGTACTATTTATTCTGGGTATCTAGTTCACTAATGGGATTTCTCAGCTTGGCAGAAATCTGCACCCTCCTTATCCCAAGTGTTGAAAAGTTCTAGGTCTAGGGAAGGCTTTGGTTTGGAAAATTGCAAAGACCTTGTTGGGGAAAATACTGCCCATACTGACCTTGCTCTTTGTAGCTAGCTCTAGTCCACGTTCCTGAAAATATGAGTCAGTGTCCTCCCTGAGTTACTCTAATATTTTCTATTAAAGGTGATGATAAAATTAAATACTTGTTATATATAGTTCCTGGAGAGGGTTGGGGCGAAGTCTTGCCTGCCCTAGGGCAGGAGCAAAGGGTGTTGGCATGGGGATCCTTTCAGACATCTGACAAAACACAGAGTCTATAGAAGAGCAAGGCACCCTGAAGGCTAATGAGCTACTGCCCGTAAGGTGAGTATTTTGATGGGGATTTGTCCATTTGTTTTCCAGGTAGCCCTGCCATTCTGCATTCTTTGTCCCTACCCTTCCTCCCTCCACCTTCTCCTCTTAGCATGAAGGGGCAGATCAGCCAATTAAAGACTGAAGCAAGGTGGATTTAAGATGCCTGTCTGTTGCTCATGGGAACTGATTGGAGCCTTTGGTAGGCTTTAAAATGAGGGGAGGAATTTTGGCTTCTCAGGGGTGTTTCAGTACCAGAAGTGCTTGCTTTATCCAGGTGATGCATCAAAAAGGAAGATAGCAAGGTCTGTAAAAAAAAGTGTAGTTCTCCACTGTGTAGGTGCCAGGCCTTGCGTGCAAAATACCAGGAGCCTGCTAGGCTGAGAATTGCCAGACCTGCTGGAAGCAGCACAAAACCCAGTGGAGAGCAGGGTGTGCTCCTCACCTTGGAGGGAGATTGGTAGTGCCGCTTCTCAGCAGCTGTGTAAGAATCTTCCGGCCCTAGATTTTGGAGTGTTTCTTAAGTTACAATATTGATGCTCTTGTTTCTTTGCCAGCTGTGGAAGCGATGCAGCTCTCAGTTCTGAGCTGGGTAGGAAGGGATCGCTTGATCCTGGAGTATGAGTGAAGCTGCACTCGGGTCAAACATATCCTTACTTTTGCTCTGATAAAAGACAAGACAAAGTAGTTTTAGATCATGATTTTTCGTGAACAAGCAAGATAAAAATAAATGTTAAATTGAAGATCCTGTTTCTCATGTGTATTTTATTAAGAACTACAGAGTTGTTCATTCTTGCTGGGTAGTATAATTGCTAAAACATGATTTGTATCCAAATATAGCTGCTTGCATTAAATATGGCACTTTGTACTGGGGAGGGTGATATGGTAAAGGAATACTCATTTAAACAATTGCATAGCTTAATTTTGTATTCAGAACCTTAACTTTTTCACTTTTAAAGTGAATGTCACCCTAAGTAGATGTTCTTTAACTTGAGTTTTATTGAGGTGCATTTGGTTGAACGTGGAATTCCAATTAAAATACACAAAATCATTTTTATATTTAACCATTTTTTTAAAAAAGTTTGTCAAACTGTTTTGCATTTCTAGGTGAATAAATGTAATGAATGTGACATTCTGGTTGTAACAGGACAGATTTCATAACGTCCTTGGGGTAGATGTCGAGAGGATTTCCAAAAATCACCTATGAGATGCCAAGGGTCTACATCGTTTATTGCCTACAAATTTTTGAGAAGTTTCATGGGTGTTTTTTTTTCCTGCAAGATGCTAAACTTTAGCTCTCATTCTTCCTTGGCTGGTGTGAGTTTGTTAAATGAACAAGAAAAGGAAGATTCCTTGGTCCCTCAGTTCTCATTGAGCTGGACTAAACGACGATCGTTTTGCCCTGCATATGTTAGCTGGACTGGAACCTGGTACTGTTAGGAGTAAAGCTCATGACAAAATATGTAAATATTTGCATTAAAGTATATAAAATCATCCTTTGTTCCAGTCTGAAGACTGACGTTTTAGTGCAGGACACAGCACGTTTTAAGTAGCCCAAAGTGTTAGCTATATTGTAAAGTTGAAGATGTTTTATTTCTGATTGTTACCTGTTAAAAATTCCACATCCCTTAAGCCATTAAGACGGAGGAGTGAAGGCAGCATATTTTTATTTATTTACGTAATAGATTACACTTTTAAGCTTTTTGCCTGGGTGTGTGGTGTTGCATTCACACTTAGAAACAGGTTATTTTTTAAAAGTTTGACATGCGAATGTGTTTGATTCAAATCACTTTCAGATAGCATTTTTTAAAATCTAATTGTAGTTCACCCGTGAGAAGGCAAAGGCTGTGAGCCGGTTGCTGTGCTGCTATGTAGCATGTTTCTTGAGACCTCCTTGTTTCTCCTTTGCCCTCAGCTGAAGGCTTAAACATTTGCTGGCTGAAGTCTGAGGCTGACTAGAAACGCAGTGTTTTGTGTCTGTTCTAGAGTGCAGGAAAGTGGCTTTTCAAACCTGCTCTGTGGTGTTTTCCAGAGACTTTCAAGAGCCCGTCCCGTGTCCACATCTTTAATTCTGGAGGGCCCCTCTCATGAGAGCTAGATATAGGCTGCTTCACAGATGTCTAAGAATCAATGGTTCTGGAAAAGAGTAAACAAGTTTCCTCAGAGATTAATGTCTCCAAGAACCTACACATGGCTTTAAGGAGAACTAGTCAAAATGCTTTTTTTTTTTTTTTTCCCCCCCTCCCCTTCCCTCCAGTACCAGAGTTTTGATGTGGGGGAAGAGAACATTTTCATTTAACATAAAATGCTTTGAAGAAATGTTGACGCTAATTTTTTTAAAGAATCAGTGGAATGTTTTATATGACTTCAACGTTATCAAAACAAAAAAATTGAGTTTGGTTAGATGTCTCTAAAACCACTCTTCTGAAAGTTCATTCAACAAAACGTTGATAAAGATTTTTATTTTTGTCCCAAAGGTGAAAGAAAATAGCTTCAAAATGTCAAAAATGCTGTTACCTGACAAG